AGGAGAACACGGATCAACTTTGACCTTCCAAATTAGACCAACGAGTCCTATCGAAAATTGTGCCAAAATTGAGCCATTTACTCATTTTTCCAACAATTTATTCTGGTAAAAAGCACGGTATTGATGCTCTCAACATGGATGAAATGTGTATATGTATAGGTCGCTTACGCCATACTACTCAAGGACGATAGATTTGCATCATTTCAATGTAATTCTTCTATACTGTCATTGATATTAAAGTTCAAAAGTTAAATGGCCGATTTTCAAAAGCGAACACTACACCAAAAACTACCTTTTGCAACGGTCAAAAAACGTTGTCGTAGGCTTTTTGCAGCATTCAGGCATGCATTGTGGGCTTCGATGTTGCCATAGAGCTGAAGGTTTTTGCAACGTTTATTGTCCGTTGTCTTTTCTTTTTCGCAATGTTCAATGAACGTTGTCATTACCTTTTTTTTGCAACATACTTGAACTTGAACGTTGTCTTTTTTCGCAACGTTCATAGAGTGATTTGTCTTAAATTTTTCGCAACATTCAGAGGGTGTAGTCTTTACTTTTTGGCAATGCTCACGGAGTGTTGTCTTTACACTTTTTCGCAACATTCAACGAATGTTGTCTTTATGCTTTTCGCAACGATCACTAAACATTGTCATTTCTTTTTTGCAACGGTCGGTGATTGTTGTCTCTACCATTTTCACAACTTCTATCGATTGTTGTGTAAAGGTTTTTTGCAACGTTCGACGAACGTTGTCTCAAGTGTTTTTGCAATGCTTTATGAACGTTGACTCAACTTTTGTTTCTTTTGGCAATGTTCCCTAATTTTTGTCCTGTTGCTGAAATCCTTTATGATGATTAATCATATTGTCCCTTTTTTTTCTATTTAAACATTCACCGACAAAATTAAAAACAAGTATCATCAATTTAAGCACGAATATTTTAAGACAATGTGAAATTCAAATTATAACTTCATTTCGAAATTTTTAATCCATACACTACACATAGAACACACGTACAATTGCTTCTTCAAAACACTCTACTAAAAAGAGATCCAAAAAACTAGCCAAAACAATATATATAGAACACATGTACTATTGCTTCTTCAAAACACTATGTTCTCCACTACAAAAAAAGAGATCCGAAAATCTAGCCAATACAATTAAATGAAGAACCTGTATACATGTACCTGCAAGAACAAAAAACCAGCCAAATCATTTATCAGTCTCCTTCACCAAGTTTGGGGGATATTGAACTTGCATTTGCTCTCTTTGGGGGAAAAATAATAATAATAAATAAATAAATATATATATATATATATATAAATGAAATACCGCCTCATTTAGAGTCGGAAAGTAATAGCCTTAAATAGATATCCAACATTAAACGGAAGAAAGAGAGCTAGACTTACATGTTCATCAAGAACTTGTGCTATTTCGAGCAGCTGCATCACAAATAAAAAACAGTTTCTGGATATAGTTTCCAGAACCGCAAATAAATACGGTGGTTCCCAAATTTCTTTTATGAAAAGCTACAAGTTGGACGGGAAAAAAATATAATCCATTGAACTATATTTACAACGGCTCTACAGCTCATCATCACTCACAAAAAAGATCTCCATCAACCAAAGTCACCAACAATATTTCAGAATTTTTTTTCATTAAGTGTAAATATAAAAACTCAAACCAAAAATATATATCTTCATATAGGCCAGGCAGACCATATTCTAAGATTTGACACAAAAAGTCTCGTGGAAATGAGGCATCATTTTTGCAACCAAAGACAATACCATTCAACATTGAATTGTTTTTAACAAGTCTAAATGTTGAGGCCTTGCAAGCCATCAAACTGACCATATTAAACCTCCAACAAACACATTTTCTGCAGTATTAGGCAGAAAAATATTCCCATTCCCTTGCAAGCCATCAAACTGACCATATTAAACCTCCAACAAACACACTTTCTGCAGTATTAGGCGGAAAAATATTCCCAGTCCGACCAAACAATAAAATTCTCTTCCCATAACAATCCAAAACCGGGTACTAAATGAAGATTATAATTTGACACAATCCCTCAAAAATGATAGTGACTCTGTAATCAAACTAGCGAGGCAAAATCTCGTAAACAAGAATTACTGATTTATTTAGATGAAACTCGATTCTTCCACAGAGCCAACAAAAAGCACAGTTGATATGATGCGAGATAGGCCGCAAATTGTCAAGGACTTAACGAATGTTAACAAGAGGGCATGACCAAGATTCGAGTTCAATTTCGAGCCAACAAGGCCACAGAAACACTTATTCAAGCTATGTAGTTCAAAATGTTGAAGTTTGCAAGCCAAAGATTAAGTTACATGTTGAACGTGGAAGGTGGAAAGGAGTGGAACAGCCTAGGCCATCAAGGGACGGAGGAACCTAAAGTGGCTACTATGCGACCGCATAG